TGCTGAAATCCTTAGCAGAAATCGTTGTGTGATGCTCCGTTTTATCACGGCCCTCTCTTCTCAGTGTCTTCACAACTCCAGCAAAAACTCAAAGGTGGATCATTCAGATATCTGTTCAGACCGACATGTAACGCTTCATAACTGCTGATGCCATATTTTTCACCTTTGGATCTTCTGATGGTTCCGTAGAAGTCACTGAGCATTTCGTTGAGTTCAGTCATGCGCATTTGTTTAAAATCAATGCTGTGACCCTTTTCATCAAACCAGTCACCAAAGCATTTCACTGTCACTTGGGTTTGCTGCACGGTATTTTTGTCAACACGACTCGAGTTTTCTCAAATGTATCAGTGTTATTTTTCAGCACTGGAGCATGACAGTTCATTTTATCAGAAGTCTCTTCAAATAGTTTCTCAAACCACTTATCTATTATCATACTGCCTAATAGATCAAAATGTACTTTAAACATGTATGTCTTCATAAGGGTTGTTGCTATGGGTGTTGATGCGCAGTGATACACAGAACCGTTGGGTTAAGCTATTGGCCAATCAGCATCAAGGACTGGAATTAACGATTTTATGAATTGTAATAATATTTCACAATATCACTGTTTTTACTGTATGTTTGATCAAAGAAATGCAGCCTTAGTGAGCATAAGAGACTTCTATCAAAAACTTTTGAACTGTGTATGAAGTTTTTCTGTCAATTCACCTTCCTGTTCCTCTCCCTTTTTTCCAGATTAAAAGGCCTTATTTCCATGTGAAGCCTCTAGATAGAGCCCAGTTGAAAGCCTGGCAGAGCTATCTGGACTGGGAGATAGCAGAAGCTGAAACAGCGGCAATGACCGCTGAAGGGACGGCTGTGGAAGGTCATGAAGATTCAAAACAAGAGTGTGTAGCTGGGCACGAGAGAGTACTGATTCTGTTTGAGCGCTGTCTCATTGCTTGTGCACTCTATGAGGAATTCTGGGATAAAGTAAGTGGAAAGGAGATCAAACAACCTATTCCTATATTCAATGTCATAATTATCTGCTTTATTATTTTGCCATATTTGTTTGACTCGTTGTTGCATTTTGTAATCTATTCGTGTGCGTTACAGTATGTGCATTACCTGGAACCACGCGGCCTGGAGGAGGTGCGTAATGTGTACCGCAGAGCTTGTGAAATCCATCTTCCGTACAAACACAGCATCCACCTTCAGTGGGCCTCATTTGAGGAAAAACATGGTGAGAAAGTCAGTTTAGCATAGAAAATACACTAACCTAAAATATAAAACATTTTAATACTTTTTAATTGAAATATGGATTTTTTTATTTTTTTATTTCTTGTCTTCAGCTACTGCATAATCTGTATTTTACATTCTGTCACTTCATTTCTCTTCACTCCCATAGGTAATATTTCAGAGGCACGGCGTATTCTAGAATCCCTTGAGATAACAGTGCCTGGTTTGGCTGCGGTGCGTCTGAGGAGGGTAGGTCTGGAGCGGAGAGCAGCGCGTTTAGATGTGGCAGAGTCACTCCTGAAGGAGACGGTGGACCAGAGTAAAGACAACCCCACACTCCATGCCTTCTGCTCCATCAAACTGGCTCGCTTCCTTCACAAGCTGTGCAAGAACCCTGCCAGGGCCCGCGCTGTTCTACAGGAAGCCATAGAGCTGAGTCCGGTAAAACACGAGCATTTGACTTTTTAATTTACATACAGTACTTTTCAAAAGTTTGGGTTTAGTAAGATTTTGTTTTCTTTTGTTTTTGGGGAAAAAAAAGAATACTTTTATTCATCAAGGACACAATACATTTATCATAAGTGACAGTAAATAGATTTAAGGTTTCAAAAGATTTTTATTTCAAATAAATGCTGTTCTTTTGAACTTTCTATTCATCACAGAATAATTAAAATAGTGTCATATTTCCATTAAAATATTAAGCAGAAAAACTGTTTTTAACATTGATAATAATAAGAAATGTATCTTGAGCAGCGAATCAGCAGATGAGAATGATTTCTGAAGGATCATGTGACACTGAAGACTAGAGTGATGATGCTGAGAAAATTCAGGTTTGCATCACAGAAATAAATTACATGTTAAATTATATTCAAATAGATAATGGTTCTTATAAATTGCACTAATATTACACAATAATATTACACAATATTACTGTTTATACTGTATTTTTAGATCAAATAAATGCCGCCTTGGTGAGCATAAGAGACTTCTTTCATAAAATCTTAACGCTCCCAAACTTTTGAACAGTGGTGAATTTCACACTATATCTTACTGTCACATGGAAGAGCTTGGTTTACCCCTTACAAAGCTTATTCTTGAGAATGATCACAATACCAATATTTCAATCATTTAAATCTTCTGGCATTTGGCTCCTCAGGATAATGGCAGATTGTACCAGAACCTTCTGGAACTGGAGATGTCAGGTGACTTGCGGGCTAATGGAGGTGTTATTCAGCAGTGTGTGGCCAAAGCGCTTGCTGCTCCTCTCTCCCCAAAGACCAAAATCCTTTTCTCCCAACGTGGCCTGCAGTTTGCTGAGGACTTTGGGACCACAGTACAGAGGTCAGAATTAATTCGGACCATTGAAGAAGTTGCTTCAGCACAAGTGATATACAGTACTGTGCAAAAGTCTTATGCACATTAGTATTTTCACCCCAATGGTTTTAAGCCAGTTATTTATTTCTTTTGCTGTAGTGTGTCAGTAGGAAATATCAGATAAACAGGTAGGTTAGGTCAGGGTTTCTTCATGTTATCACAGACTCGGTGATGGTGAGATCAGATCTCTGTGAGGAGCGTACTGGGTTTTGTTAGACTCCTTGAGCATACAAAAATCTCACTGGATTATTACAATTAATGGCAAAAGGAAGGTTTGGAAATGTAAACTGATTTTTCCTACTGATACAAAAGATATCAAAAGTATAATTTATTTAGGTGAAAATACTAATGTGCCTAAGACTTTTGCACAGTACTGTATTTATTCTGCACATACAGTATATATGTGACCCTGAACCACAAAACCACCAGTCATATGGGTCAATTTTCTTAAATTGAGATGTATACATCATCTGAAAGATTATTAAATAAGCTTCCATTGATGTATGGTCTGTTAGGATAGGATAATGTTTGGCCGAGATACAACTATTTGAAAATCTGGAATCTGAGGGTTAAAAAAAAATCGAAACATTGAGAAAATCGCCTTTAAAGTTGTCCATTTATGTTTGCGATTGTGCTGCATTCACTCACAAAAATAATTTGTTTTATATATTTACGGTAGGAAATTTACAAAATATCTTCATGGAACATGATCTTTACTTAATATCCTAATGATTTTTGGCATGAAAGAAAAATATTGGCTATTGCCACAAATATACCCGTGCGACATGTGACTGGTTTCCAGGGTCACGTATTACTTTTTTATTTACTCAGTAGATTAATTCTACTTTTTCTTTTGTGGATTCTGCATTAATGGGTTTACTTAAATGTTACTTAGACGTTTTGTTTGTATGTTATCAGTGTGTTGAGCATGTATGAGGAGCACCAGAAGCTGCTACAGGAACACAATGCAAAGAGAGAAGCAGAGAATAGGTGACCTCCATATACAAACCCAGAGATCTCCTTTCAACATTTAGTTGTGTGTAAGACTTTTTAATGTGCTTCTGTGTATTCCTCAAGCGATAATGATGATCCAGAAAAGATGAGCAAAATGGATGATGGATCTTCCTTGACGATGCCTCCACAGACTGCTCCACTCACGATGCCTCATGCTCCTATGACGACACCACCTCCCTCTATGATGGGCGGAGACATGAGTGGATCGTATGGAAGCTATGGCAGCTGGTATCAGGTAAAGAATTGAATTTGCACACAAATGTCGTATTGTTAAAGCACTGCATTTACCCAGTAGGAGGCAACTAGAGCTTTCAAAGATTAAACTTTGGTGCATTGGTGATTTAAACTGTGTTTTGTATACAAATATTGTCCCTGTGTCTCAGCAGCAGTATGGAGGGTATGGCAGCTACCAAAACCCATGGAACCAATATAATCAGTACTACCCTCCCAGCTAAATCTCTTCAGAGACAGCGGTCTGGGGTGCTGCTTCATGTGATCCACTCACACATACTCAATCCCCCAAAGGCTGCAGCAGTGCGTAACTTGAGCCAGTGTCAAAAGAGTGAGGGATAAAATGTACAAACATATTATTGTGTTTTTAAGGACTGTTACACTCTCTATACTATGTTACACTTTTATACTATGTGCCACCTTGCAACTTAAAATTCATTTGTATATATATATATATATTGTGGTTCATACTTGGTTTTGAAGTAATTTATCTGTGAATTAAGTTACATTTACTGACTCGCTAAAATGTATTGTGAACATTTTTCCATTGACCATTTTGTACCAAGTTCTTTTAAAATTCAGTTTATTCTGTGCAGTCACTCTCTTATAATTTTAATAAAATATAATCTACATAAAACAATTTTTAAATTATATGTTTGTAATGAAGTTTTAAATTAATTGACTTGCAACAGCAACTGTTGAAGGGAAAGTTTTTGTTGTTTTTTTCATTTACAAGTGTTTCTTAATTCTTCACATCAGTGGTTTTCAACCTGGGGCCCGGGGCCCAATAAGGGACCTCAGAAAACTTCTAAATAGTTATTAAAATAGTTTGCATTAAAATATTAATAATATACATTTTAAATTTTTTTTTTAAACCCAATCAAGAGGTAAACTGAAATCATATCTCTCCTCCCTCCCCCTCAATAACTTTTTATTGAAGAACATGCATTTCTATATAGCATAGTTTTGTTAATATTATATCTAGAGCCTTGAGAACTCCTCCTTTACATAGTCCCTGATAAAGCTCTTATTTACAAATTTTACCTTCACTTCCAAACCCATCATAAAATTCAAATCATACAACTAAGAGTTAAATGAATTTTATTGTTAAAAATGTCATTTTCCCATGTCGTGAAACAAAGGTAACAACCACCTTCTCAATGTTCATCACTGTGAGAACACACTTGGCCCTTTATTTAGCGGTATCGGCAGGTTTACATTTGATGAAATTACTGTTCAACTCATTGCATTGTATATTTGGCGCTTTGTTGAGTGAAATCATTGCAGTATAAGTCCACTGATACATAGTCTCCATCCGCTTGATCTTGCATTGATATCTGGAAGAACAGCTTGTTTCTAGAATCGTTTCACTTCATTTCTTGGTGACAACAAGGACGGCAGAAGGCACCAGACCTGTCAAGTAAAACGAAAGCTCCATAAATGACTGATGTTGAGAACAAAGTCTGAAGTTGATTCCTCGGAGACAAAGAACTGTGATCAACATCATTAATCAACATCAACCTAATATATAAGTGTTCTTACCCAGCTCACGCAGGGGTTTTTCCATGTCTAGATCTGTGTACACGCGTCTAGGATATGGGGTGATGAGGTTGAAATCCTCTCCGTTTGCCCCATTCATCTGAACATAGACTCTCACAGCAGCCAGAGGTTCCTGAGCCTTAAAGACAGTACTCAAGGTGGTTCCATCTAGAAGACGCACCTAATGACCAAAGGGAGTAGTTTCAATTTTGTGATATATTCGAGGAATCATTCAGGCACGTAAAAACATATTTGAAAATAATTTCCATCTGCTCAATTAAACTGAAGTCAACATCCTCGTACGTGTTGAGGCAGTACCTGTATCCGACAGTCATCGTAGTCTTTCTTAGCAGGAGGAGCCCCTTGGTTCTCAGGTGGACACTGTGGTGGGGCTTCAGAGGGGGGAGATGACAAACCCGTGCTTGATGAACCGCCTCCAAACTGCCAAGAAACAGGTTTTTGTAATTTATTATTTCTATACTTGATATATATTGTACTAGGCATGAGAGAAATATTAATATTAGTCTATCCTGAGCAAAGTAAAACCATTGTAAGTAAATTAATACCTTTCGTGCCCTCTCCTCTCTGTCTCGTGCAATCTTGTCTTTAACCCGCTGCCTGACAAAAGGATCACAGGTTATTACTTTCATTTAAAGCAGTGGTTCTCAACGTATGGAGCCCCTAAAGGGACCTTTGCAAAACTAAAAAGTATACAGACTTTAGCGGAAAAACATTTGCGTGTGGACAGGATTTTTTTTTGCATGCTCACACATTACAATTTCCAGTTTACGTATACTATAACCAATTTCCTTTGTGCGTCACTGCCATTTTACTATGAAGAAAATGAGAGTATGGATGTGCATGATCAATTTGCTCAAAATTTTACTTTCATTAGGGCAGTATACCTCTAATATCACTGCCTTATTGTCCTATTTGCCAAGTTCGCCTAATGTACGTATTAACGCATCCTCTGTGGCGGCCGTGAAATGGGATGATGGTGCAATACGGCTGTGGGCATTGGGCTGATAAGAGTGCTCAAAAAAAGCCAAAACAACTAAAAATCTATATATTTCTTGTTTACATATTTATTTAAAAAACATTTCTATAAATAAACTATTATTATTAAAAGCATCACTTTTTTAATTATGATTTCTAGACTTGAAAAAGTAATGTAAATTAATCAAATCTTAAAACAGCATGGGCATACCATAAATATTTAGATGTGCCAAGCTCTAAATGGGGGAAAAAATCATTATCCCTTAATCCTTATCCAGTAGATCGCAAAATACTGGAAAAGTCATGGGGCCTTTGAATATTGTTGTGGACAATGGGGCTTTGGAATCAAATCGATTGAGAACCACTGAATTAAAGTTAATACTTTACAACAACGGGCACTGTATCCAGGCTCGTCTTACTTGGCAAGCTTGTCCTCCATCTTCTCCTTCCTGCGCATGTCTGCCAGCTTCTTCATTTCGTCGTCCTGAAGCTTTTGTTTAACCTGCAGCAGCTCTTGGCCGTGTTTCCTTCTCTGCTTTTCTCTATCTACCTCCTCCTGTCGCTCTCTCTCTCTCCTCTCCTCCTGCCTCGCCTTCATCAAGTCCTCCAGGCTGGAAGAAAAGCAATACTTTTTGTCAGCTTTTAAATGTAAGCTTTTTTACATTCATACATTTTAAGGTCAGCTGTACAAAGCACAAACCGTTTTACTTGTTCCTTCTTTTCTTCCTCTGTCATAGGTTGCTTGGAATCTCCCTCTTCGTCTATAACTTCAATAGCTGTTTTTTGTTTTGGTTAAAGTCAAAAGTGAAAGAGAAAGTAACATTTTGTGATGTGTGACCACAATGATTTCATGAAATTGAGAGCGAGGAGCATTAGGAGAACATACATTCAGAGGTTTCTGTAGGAGACTGGATCTGTTCTTCTGTTGAGCTAAGAGTATTCCCAGCAGGTGGAACATACGGCTCATCTATATCTGGATCATTCTCATGCTCCATTAACCTGTACAGTTACAGAATTGTAAATGCAACTTTCAAAAACATATTTTTTATTTATTGTTATTAATGATATACTTTAATAAATTGCAATTAAATCACACCTTCTCTATACAATGAAAATGCTTACTGGCTATCAGATTGCATTGCAGTTTATTTTAATAAATGCATTTAAAAAATAATAACACAATCATGAAAATTGTGTTGTTTTTTTTCCTTCGGTCATACCTAATCTCACCTAGGGCATCAAAAATCATGACCGGATAAGCTTGTTACATATGGCAAAATGTGTCCATGATGACTCACCAGTCCATTGCTCTCTCAATGCCCTGGTTTCCAGTATGTGCTACTGCCCTCTCCCTACAAAACAATCACTGGGTGAGTGCAAAATACTGGATTAGGGTGTAAACATACCTGTAAAAACATCACTTACGCTCTGTTTCTGTCGAAGCCCATTTCCAGCAAACTGTCTAAGGTAGTGCACTCAGCCATTGTGCTGAAAATAAGTGTATTATAGCATTATAACAATAAACATCATAGTATTTTTAAAGTTCACAAATAAAGAGAAAATAAATATAAAACCCTTCTTGCTTGCTCAAAAGCTTTCATAGAATTGAGGGGGGTTTAAGGACGATTTCTTTACTCTCTACAGAAAAAGCTTAAAATATTTTATAGATGTACAATTTAAAATACAAAAAAAGTGATACATTTGGGTATGGACTCGTTACACCAGCTCGAAACAATGAGATTATCTAATTCTATTTTTATGACTGTCACATGATCATATCCTCACTACATAACAATCATATCTGACCGTTACAGTGTGATTATAATATTTATACTGATAAATACATGATCATATTCAGCTAGCTGGCAGGCTAACAGTGATCAGCCTCCAGCAACAGCTAATTATTTTTTGCCTTGCTAATATCTTCTAGAAAGCTGTTCATAGTTTTCTTTATTAAGTAATAGAACTTCAGTATATCAGGTACGATATTTTTACTTAATCTCATCATTAATTAGCCCTGTACATCGTTCAACAGCTACTTACATTTGTTATCAGCACTGGGACGCTTCCACACACTACGGAATCCCGCGACGGCCAATTCGCGAAAATGCGCCTTTCTCTGACCTGTGTAGAATACTACCAGCTACTACCCATAGACTGCGCTACTACCACATGATTAGGGTAGAATCTGAATAAAAAGCAAACAAAATAAAACCAATTATTCCGATTTTTATAAAATTGTTTTAGTTAGTAGTATAGATATATATTATACATTATATTATATATATATATAGTGTGTGTGTGTGTGTGTGTGTGTGTGTGTGTGTGTGTGTGTGTGTGTGTGTGTGTGTGTGTGTGTGTGTGTGTGTGTGTGTGTGTGTGTGTGTGTGTGTGTGTGTGTGTGTGTGTGTGTGTGTGTGTGTGTGTGTGTGTGTGTGTGTGTGTGTGTGTGTTAGTGATTATATTTGAAATCAGTGATGTTTTCTGAAAATGTAAATATGCAACAAGTTTTCTGTGATAGGTTTCGGGAGGGTTATAGTCTGGTAGGAACCTGCACCCGAAAGATATATTTTTTTAACCTAGTTTTTTGTAATCCTTAAGGTGTCTAGAAAAGGAATTTTGATGTTCCCCACGCCAATTATTGTCCCATATGTGATTTTTTGTATCATCTTTTGTGTCCGTGCTTGATTTTCGACTGCGGAAAATGAAAACTTTAAATCTACATAGAATCTGAACAATACATCCTACAGACACAATCTACCCCATTTTCCCTTCGTCTTTGCATGAGGAATTGATAGATATGAGGATTGTCATGATTAGATGATGTATAGTGCATACAAACTCAAATAAACACCAAAAAATGTAAAAAAAAAAAAATGGTAACATTGGACCACTGGAACTCCTCCCCTATGGACCCCATTGATATATGTTTTCTAACTTTTGTATTTTTACAGTCTTTAAGATGTCTAAGAAGCAAATGTTGATGATCCCCACCTGAAATATTGTGACATGTATGTCTTTTCTGGCTATATTGGCTGCCCCCCTGGATATCCAAAAAAGCAAAAAAGAACATTTACATAGGCAGTCTGTTTTTTCTCCTTTAGTTTTTGATTTGATAGATCTCTTTCATTTTCCATAACTGGCTATATAAATTGTTGTTGAGCACATTACTGCTTGTTTCCAACGTCAATTGTTGCACATTAAAAATATAACGTAGATATTTTAAATAAATAATACATTTTAAGATACAATGTGTTCAAAAATATACATTAATTAAAAATCACATCGTGTAATCAGGATTCACTGGTAGTGTGAGGTTTATTTAACATACATTTTTAAACTAACTACACATACATAGCCTACATGATGCACCAACACACAATTAGAAAGATCTTTCTTGAAGAGCATGTAGCATTATGGAAGCCCACATTAACTGGCAGATATTGGTCTCTCAAGTTTTCTGTTAAGTTAAATGTTGCTATGGCTTTTTCAGCTATTAAACTCTCAGAAGTGTTGAGGTTAACCCATTTCTTGGCACACTGAACAAAAGATGCCCAACTCATTTGAGAAAATGAGGTTATTGGGCTTTTTGCCTTAGAAGCAACATGTATACAGCAGTTCATATTGTCGCCAACCTGCTGTCAATCACATCCCGCTTTGTTGTTATGCGGTGTATGTAAATAAATTAGGTGATAAAAGAGGTCTTCTGACGGTAAGTGCACAATGTATAGTAGACTACCATGGCTGCTGCACATCAGATGTCATTTAATGCTGTACTTGATGTCATTCAAGATCAAGTGATAAGACAGAGCAAGATTGTGCGGCTTGCATCACTGCGTCTTATCTACACCCAAGAGTTGGAGAGAAATGGCTTCCCCAATCCCGAGTACAGAAGTGAGAAACTGAAGAGAAAACTTGAGAAGCATGAGGGGATTGGCATTTCTATGGTCACAGCAGATTTGAAGGGTTGTATCACCCATAGCTTGATATTCAGTGCTAGCTTATCCATCTCAGATGCAGTGAGAAATGCATATGAGATGGGGAGCACGGACAAGTATGAAGATGTGGCCCTTCTTCTTCGTGGTACAATCAAGAAGACATACAGAGAGTCAAATTCTCTTCCTTGGCCTCCCAAAGCTGATGATCTGGTCATGTCCTTGGATGACCTCCTCCCATCTAATCTCATGAGGTTCCTGACCCTCATGATTTCTGGTGATGCTGACTTGGAGAAGAGTGAGAAGACAAGACGCCTTGTGCTGTCTATAAGTCAGGTATGACAACTCTCCACTTTGGTATATTTTTCAATATTGCATATGTTTTATTTTGTGTACACTGTAGTTGCTTCAACGCTAATTGCTTTCTTTAGTATTTCAGGACATCTGCCGTGCTGTGACAAAGGGAGAGTGGAAGTTGCCTAAGCATATCCTCCTCTGTACCACTATACGTCACCTTTATCGCAGTAAACTACTGACTACTATTCTTAGTAGGCTAGGTCACTGTGAAACTTACGACTTTGGCTTGGAACTTGAGACCGCTCTAACCAAGGCCCTCAATGAGGTTTCCATCTCTCTCGGTCCTCAAATTATTACTGGTGAGGGAAACTATGCGTTTCATCTCGAGTGGGACAATTTGAACAAAATAACGACAAACATTGTGGGAAGCAGTGGATCAAAGCAACTTCTGCAACAAGTCAGTGAAGCCATGGAACGACTTTTACTTCAGAGATTCATTGAAGAGGAGAATGTGGAGATCACCAATCCCAAAGCCCTCTTTGACCTAGTCCAGACCTTTATGACTGAGTACTCTGTAAAAGGTTGGTTGATTGGGGTGAAGTAATCGATAGTAGATCTTCGAGGGGGCTTGTAACCAGTGGCTGATACAAAGCCAGCAAACCCTGCAACAAGTTGCTTTGATCCACTGCTTCCCACCACTCGGACAATTAGCCAGACACGATACTCTTGGATGCAGTTTGAGTAGACTTTGTTGTTTGCTGTGGGCAGAGTAAAAACTGCTCCCTCAGGAAATTTGGGGCCGACTCGGCTACAGATATGGACGGTGTTTAGGGTCTCAGGTATGTCTACCTTAAGAGAGCGTGTCTTGTTCCGCTCGTAGAGTGGGAGCATTCGTGGAATTTCCAGAGAGCTGGGGGCATTAAATCCAGGTTTCACCTCCTGTATCATGATCCCACCAGTCCAGTTCACCACATTTGAGCCATGAATGTTTGTCGTTATTTTGTTCAGATTGTCCCACTCGAGATGAAACGCATAGTTTCCCTCACCAGTAATAATTTGAGGACCGAGAGAGATGGAAACCTCATTGAGGGCCTTGGTTAGAGCGGTCTCAAGTCCCAAGCCAAAGTCGTAAGTTTCACAGTGACCTAGCCTACTAAGAATAGTAGTCAGTAGTTTACTGCGATAAAGGTGACGTATAGTACAGAGGAGGATATGCTTAGGCAACTTCCACTCTCCCTTTGTCACAGCACGGCAGATGTCCTGAAATACTAAAGAAAGCAATTAGCATTGAAGTGTTCAAGCAACTACAGTGTACACAAAATAAAACATATGCAATATTAAAAAATATACCAAAGTGGAGAGTTGTCATACCTGACTTATAGACAGCACAAGGCGTCTTGTCTTCTCACTCTTCTCCAAGTCAGCATCACCAGAAATCATGAGGGTCAGGAGGAACCTCATGAGATTAGATGGGAGGAGGTCATCCAAGGACATGACCAGATCATCAGCTTTGGGAGGCCAAGGAAGAGAATTTGACTCTCTGTATGTCTTCTTGATTGTACCACGAAGAAGAAGGGCCACATCTTCATACTTGTCCGTGCTCCCCATCTCATATGCATTTCTCACTGCATCTGAGATGGATAAGCTAGCACTGAATATCAAGCTATGGGTGATACAACCCTTCAAATCTGCTGTGACCATAGAAATGCCAATCCCTCTCATGCTTCTCAAGTTTTCTCTTCAGTTTCTCACTTCTGTACTCGGGATTGGGGAAGCCATTTCTCTCCAACTCTTGGGTGTAGATAAGACGCAGTGATGCAAGCCGCACAATCTTGCTCTGTCTTATCACTTGATCTTGAATGACATCAAGTACAGCATTAAATGACATCTGATGTGCAGCAGCCATGGTAGTCTACTCTGTTTCACTGACAGGGTTGGTAGCAAGGGCTTTACCTCGAGATGTGATGTGGTTTGCATATTTCAGGTTGAATGACTTGCGACATGACTGATGGGAATTTGCTTCTCTCGCAAAAAGGCCCTCACCTTGCACCATGCGATGTAGACGGTGAAGTCCAAGTTCATAGGCTTGAGGCGTAATCTGTTTCCATGTAGGCTCCTTCAATGCTCCGTCCTTAGCCTTATATACTGGGAACTTGATGCATCGTTCGGTCTTTCCCAATACTTTTACTTCCAGCTTTCCACAGAAGATACACTCTGGGGGGAACAGCTGCTTAGCTGAGGAGGACCCACATTTACGTGGTGAGCGTGATGTTGAAGCTTGCTAAGGATGTCACAGTAGGTCTTTCCTGTAAGCGTCCCTGGTTCTTTGTAAACTTTTGGTAGCAGGCTCGATGATAGCCAGTTGTTTCTAAATTGGCACCTACAAGACTCTGGAATGAGATTACAGACATGATCCATGTGAAACTGCAAATCAAGAGCTTCTTGGAGACGTCTATCACAAATGCTGTGTAGCAGAGCCAGCTTGTCAGTAGTGGTGTGATATCTGCATGCTCAAAGCCATGTACATGTAAAATACAATTTTCAGGACCATGGTCTTTTGATTTGACACCATCATCTCTCTTGGATTTCTTTGTAGCAAGATTGAACTCTTCAGACTCACTATCATTTTCTTCCTTGGGTTTCCTTGACTTAGACTTTGACTTGGGCAAGATTAGCAATGATCACCAACTAGCCAATTAGCTATTATAGTATAAAAGTGTTGACTTTCTTTTTCCCTAATGTCTTCAAGGCAGCTTCAAACTTGGTAGAGGAGTATATTTTTCAGACTCACCATCGATATCTCCCTTCTCTTTTTTGAGGATGATTAGCATGCACATTTGTAGGACTACTAAATCGTAGAGTCAGAAAACGTAAAAAAATCACCCGTCTCCTTGATAACCTGTCACATCTCCCTGACCACCAGCGTAGTTGATATTGTAACGTTGCTCTCTTGATAACGAAATCCTGCTATTAAAATAGGCTTTATATGCTTTTTGTCTACACAAACTATACTATACATTGTGCACTTACCGTCAGAAGACCTCTTTTATCACCTAATTTTTTTACATACACCGCATAACAACAAAGCGGGATGTGATTGACAGCAGGTTGGCGACAATATGAACTGCTGTATACATGTTGCTTCTAAGGCAAAAAGCCCAATAACCTTATTTTCTCAAATGAGTTGGGCATCTTTTGTTCAGTGTGCCAAGAAATGGGTTAACCTCAACACTTCTGAGAGTTTAATAGCTGAAAAAGCCATAGCAACATTTAACTTAACAGAAACCTTGAGAGACCAATATCTGCCAGTTAATGTGGGCTTCCATAATGCTACATGCTCTTCAAGAAAGATCTTTCTAATTGTGTGTTGGTGCATCATGTTGGCTATGTATGTGTAGGTAGTTTAAAAATGTATGTTAAATAAACCTCACACTACCAGTGAATCCTGATTACACGATGTGATTTTTAATTAATGTATATTTTTTAACCCCTTAAGTGTCACCGGCCCACCGGTGGGCCCAAATCCATTACATTTTTAAAACAGTAATATCCTATACTAAACCTAAACTAATCTTGACAAACTATATATCATTTGAAAGCTTACAATCTCTAGTTTCCATATTTGGCGATTGATTTTCAAAATAAATTACAGAGGAGCCCTAATTTATCAATTTGCAACGAGAATATTTTCATTCTCCTAAGGCGTGTTTAGACCTTTATTTTGAAACAGTGATGAACATAAAAAAATGAAAGAAGGGTAGAAACCTCAGTTTGTTTTCATGCCAAGAGTTCAAAAGATAGCATCCATTCAATTATTTTAGAAAAAAATGTCTGATATTTTTTTTTAAATATAAAGAAAAAAATTATAGATTCACCATTTGTGGCAGGCTCATTCGTGTTCTTTTTATGTGTTCCTTAGAGGTTGAATTCATATCAAAACCTGCCAAACTTATCATATTACTTCTGAATAGGATCTCTACTTCATAAATTGTATGCAAATTGTGGAAATAATGGTTCAGATCACTCAAAACACATATGGAAATGGAGGCGCCCTTATATGGGCAGTAATGGAGTCTGGTTGTCATCTAGTGAAAAAGTTTGGTACTGCGCCCAAACAAAATCTTACTGAAAGCTCATTTTTTGAGATATCAACCTAAAATTTGAAACACAACTTTTCAGCATTTTCATGTATATTCAAAAAAAGGGGGGTGACACTTACACATTGTATCTTAAAATGTATTATTTATTTAAAATATCTACGTTATATTTTTAATGTGCAACAATTGACGTTGGAAACAAGCAGTAATGTGCTCAACAACAATTTATACAGCCAGTTATGGAAAATGGAAGAGATCTATCAAATCAAAAACTAAAGGAGAAAAAACAGACTGCCTATGTAAATGTTCTTTTTTGCTTTTTTGGATATCCAGGGGGGCAGCCAATATAGCCAGAAAAGACATACATGTCACAATATTTCAGGTGGGGATCATCAACATTTGCTTCTTAGACATCTTAAAGACTGTAAAAATACAAAAGTTAGAAAACATATATCAATGGGGTCCATAGGGGAGGAGTTCCAGTGGTCCAATGTTACCATTTTTTTTACATTTTGTGGTGTTTATTTGAGTTTGTATGCACTATACATAATCTAATCATGACAATCCTCATATCTATCAATTCCTCATGCAAAGACGAAGAGAAAATGGGGTAGATTGTGTCTGTAGGATGTATTGTTCAGATTCTATGTAGATTTAAAGTTTTCATTTTCCGCAGCCGAAAATCAAGCACGGACACAAAAGATGATACAAAAAAATCACATATGGGACAATAATTGGCGTGGGGAACATCAAAATTCCTTTTCTAGACACCTTAAGGATTACAAAAAACTAGGTTAAAAAAATATATCTTTCGGGTGCAGGTGAACCCCCCCTTCCTACCCTACTAACTTGAAAAAAAAAAAAAAACCTATGTGTGGGCTACGTGCGTGTGTGTGCACGCAGTTTTCAACGCGTCAAAAAAAAAAAAAAAAAAAAAAAAAAAAATCTTCTCTTAACTGGTGCAACCATGTGATCATAATTCGGTTTCCTTCATCCCTTACGAGACGTACATATTTGGCATTAACCATCTTTTAAAATGGCATGTTTAAACAGGTTTCGTAAGCACGCTGCTGTTAAGAAGAATATGGTTTTATTTCTAAAAGAAGTAGAGGTGAAGCATGGGATAATAATATATTTACATCCAGCATCGGTTCAAATAAAACCATCTAACCAGTATTCTTGTCTCATGACTGTTTAACTTCCCTAACATTACAATTATGTTTAGACATAATCAAAATACTTTAAACAACAGTCTGTTTTCATTTTAAGGACAATATAAGCACCATTTGCACAATGTAGGCCTATATGCCATCCAAAGTGTCCAATGTCCGTTTGCAAGGTGTTTAAGGTGAAGATATGATGTTACAGGTGGATGTGCAAACAGTGCAGTATGGGACGGGCCTCAGCTTGTTACTTATTGGATGAATGTATAATAACTAATCTGCCAACAACGTCCTCTCTGACATTCTTCTTCTGAATTACAGAAGTTCACACATGCTCCTCTATTTTCCTCTATCTATTTTTTCTTTCTTTCCCTTTCGCCCTTTTTCCAGTCATTTGTGTGTTTAAATAGATCAAAACACTTCTTCAACCATAATTTCCACCTTCTGATACAAAGGAGAACAGAAAAGGTGAGTTATATTTAACAATTTATTATTAGTAGGCCTACTTTTTTTTGTGATTATGGAAAGTCTTGTTTACAGGCCTATGCAGTTTTGCTTTTGGGAAGGATTTGTATTACCAAATGACAGAGTAAAGATCTCTAATGTAGTCAACAAAGAATATGTTGTATTACACAAACAACAGATAGAGAAGTTTTCAACAAATTTGTTTAATTATGACTTTGACTTTATAACTTTCAGAAGGGTCAAGGTGTAAAGTTCAATATGTCAAAGTCTCTTTTATAAGAAAGAGATCAGCAAATGAATGGTTAACAGTGCAAATTGACAGTTTATATAAATACAGATTTTACAAGTTAAATATCAATACTAATATCATATTCAAACCCTGCAGTTTCTCTGTCCTTCAAATCAAACGACTATCTTCAAAATGGCATAATGCAATTTCTAGTTGTGACAAGAAGGGTGTTCTAACTGTTGATCTCTTATCTTTATTAACAGAATAAAATTGGTTGGACGTTGGACAAGCATAGGACGTGTTAAGAGCTGTTCCTGGTGCTCACTGGGTGTAACAGCCACTCCATGTGGAAAACTATTGAAGTGCCAGTGGAGAAGCTGTTACCTGCAGAGAGTCACATGTGACGGAAGCCGGAAGTGCTGCATGTGAATCCTTTACCCCCTCCATGCCTTATCCTGCACATTGAACTAAGTTATCATCTACATTATTATAATGTATCAATTATAATGCATTTGTATACATTTACAAATATGTGACATGGTAATGTCATTATCAATGGTAATACAAGAACATGGTTTGTAAAATGCATTTAGAAATAAATAGATATATGTGTTATTTAAAGGTGCTCTAAGCGATGTCATGTGTTTTTTAGGCCAAAACATTTTTTGTCACATACAGCAAACATCTCCTCACTATCCGCTGGCTGCCTGTCCCCTGAACACACTGTAAAGAAACGCGATCTCTGTAGACAGCCCATGCTTCACAAACAGCACCAAAAACAAACTGCAGCGACCCGCTCCCCAAAACATAACAAACTGTTCCAGCCAATGACCGACAAGAAGGGTTTGGGGGTGTGGTTTGGGGGGTTAGTGTGCGGATGAGGAGGAGGGAGGGTAGCTAGCCTCCGTTTTGTTTGACAATAGTTCGAACGTCAACAAGAAGTGACGTCACCCAGGATCGCTTAGAGAACCTTTAACAATAAAATACAATAAAGTATTAATGTGAGTTCTGTCAGTTGTAGTATTCTACTAATATTTATTCTACTAATAGGAAATATTCTAGGCTACTACATCCGGTTGTGCTGTGAAACTGGCAGCAGAAGAATTTTTGCTGAGTTCAGAACTGCATACTAGTATACTCGTCTCATACTACTTTTTACCATATCTTTCTATGACAGAAATTGTAAAAGTATGCTGATGTTTAGAGTGTAATTGCCACTTGTGTCCACAAGGGTCCACTGTTATCTAAGTAGGCAAATACTTTGTCGGGTTTATTTTTTAGTGACGTTATGAAATTCTGAATTATTATTATTTATTTATTTTGTCTTAATGGATATGTCTAGGTGGTGTAAATGTTGCAAACGTTGGAAAAATGCACATTTTCTTCTGTTCAAATTGAGTAAATATTCGTTGACTCAATGAAAGTGATATATATCTATATATATATATATATATATAATAATTATTTTTACAGAATAGTAACATAAAACATGAAAAAAACATGCATGTTAACTAAATTCATAATTGTTATTATTTATTTTTTAACTAGATTCATTCAGGATTCGTAAGAGCCACGTTGCCACAGTAATTCGTTCCATATGTTCCATAACTGGCGATCTCATTTCAAGAATGTATTTATTATGTGTGATCTAATGCTATCCGTCCTCATATTAATGCGTTAGGTACTTCAACATGCATAAATTCCATTGTTTGTTTTAACGAAATCGAGGCTTTTATTATGAAGTCTATAAGTTCCGCATACGAAACACTGTTTAGATACCTGCAGAAAGTTCAGAAGAGATCCGATCCGATTAGATTAGAATTACTGCAACTTTAAACGACGCACGGCCATAGGAGAGTGTTGCAACAAGCCTCAGATGTACGCGTTGCATTACAGTTCAGGGGTTTGCCAAAAAGGGAAGTGCAGCTTGTCATAACGCAGAGGTGACTGACTGTACAAGGGGTGGGACAGTCAAACTTTCGACAGGACGTCGCCTTGGTTCGAACCGGTTCGAACGCAGATTCGAGTTTTTTTCCTTCCGAATAAGAATCGTCGCATAACGACCATAATGTTCAGCTGGTCTAAAAGAGAAGGGAAGAAAGACCCAGATCTTTTCCAAAACGTATCGGAGGGACTGAAGCGCCTCTACCGCACCAAACTCTTTCCTTTAGAGGACTCCTATCATTTCCACGACTTCCATTCACCGGCTTTAGAAGATGCTGACTTTGATAACAAGCCCATGGTGCTGCTGGTGGGACAGTACTCGACCGGGAAAACCACCTTCATTAGGCATTTAATGGAGCAGGATTTCCCCGGGATGAGAATAGGCCCCGAGCCGACGACGGATTCCTTCATAGCGGTTATGCACGGTGAACAGGAAGGCATGATACCTGGTAATGCGCTGGTTGTCGATCCAAAAAAGCCTTTCCGAAAACTCAACGCCTTTGGTAACGCTTTCCTCAATAGGTAATACACCATTTATTATGTAGCATAAGATGGTTCATTGATAAATACCTCAAGTGTCACTGTATGAATTTACAGGTGTGGTAGTAGGTAAACTAAGACAATTACCGTATGCTAATGAATCAGGAAATACGCTAAAGTGCGTAGCACTTCTCTGACTCTTACAATTGCTGCAGTTGGAGACTTGAGCATCTCAGTTACAGTTCATTATCAAACGTTTGACACATTACAAATTGAGGTGATCTGCTAGTTTAAATCACGTCTCAAGTTTTTGTAAATTTTCCACAAAAAAAACAAAGATTCATAGATGTTCTACAAACATTTTGACTCTAAAAATATGAAGTAATGTAAGAGTTAAGTAAAAAGTACTGGTGTACCTTTTTTGTGTAACCATAAAGTAAAAATGTGTATATATATATATATATATATATATATATATATATTTTTTTTTAACAAAAATCATTAATTTGAGTCATGAATTAAAAATAAAAGATTTTCATATGATTACTTCTTTTGACCTGAACAAAACTGGCTTTTCAAATTATGATAGGCTATTCATAAAAACACATGTATACATTTTATGTGAAATATATAAAATATAATTATATATTTAAATGTATATATTTAATAAATCTTTGACACCAAATCATGAGGGTCTTCTCTGTTTGTTTTATGGTTTTCCTGTCACGTAGCAATGTATTTGGTTTCTGCCTGTTGGTTATGCCACACTGACTTTGGTAAATAGAACAGTGGTGAATAGTTTTTCGTTTTAAATTATAATATTTTAACATTTTTTTTCCATAATGTTCATTATGAATGTTCATCATAATATAGATGTAAGTCTTTTTATAATAATTACATTTTAATGTATTTTGAGTAACAGCTTTACTGTATCCGTTTGTTTTTAATTATGACCTCACAATTATTCAGTCATTATTCGCTTTGAGTTGTCAATTTCCATCTGTGTGTGTTTGAGTCATCATTGCATATGCTGAGAGCAGATGTCACACAGACATTTGTTCTTGAGCTGTTGGTCTATTCGTCTCCTTTTCCAAACTAACTTTTTAAACTACCTCCCATCACACAGTTACAGTACATGAGGCAACACCTAACCAGGACATTAACCCCACACTCAGTACCCAGTGTGATGTTGTGTGATGCCAGTCTGAACAATTTCCACGTTGACTGTACAATAGCGGTAACAGATTCCTGGGTGGTGTGTGTCAGGTGTTGAGTTTACACAAGCGGATTGAAACTGGCTGGGATTACCAGTGGACTGCCATATGCTAGTGGAAAAAGGTTCAAGGCTAATTCAGCAGAAATAAATATTTGGTCCCAAAAGGAGAACCATAAAACCCACAATACAATAATAATGGTATTTCATTCTGAAGATATTTCCCCTTTTTCCCACTTTTGGGGTTGGTCACATGATTATTTGTGGTCATTATGAAATTATAAGCAGTGTAAACTGGTTCCATGTGTGAGACTTTTGAATATTTCACAATGTGAAACTCGCGTGCATATTGCAATGTTAAAACATCCTCTGTTTTTCAGAACGAGGGAATTGTCTGAAAAGGTTTAATGTGTAGACTATTCACATAATATATAATATGTAATGTGAATATTCTAATAAGAAACAGGGAGAAGATTGCCTATCCTTTCTTTCTGAGAGAGATACCTGGCTATTTATCAGACCAGTTTATGACCTTACACTGTCTTCCAGGATTTTTTTTTTGGCCTGGTAAAAAAGGGCTTTAGTAGTGTATGTTCTGTACTTAAAGTTTGTTATTAGATGACACAAAAGAGCACTGTCAAACAAAAAGTAAAATAAAATGTGATCATGAAGCCTCTTAGTTTTTTTGACATTTTTCTTTAACATGTCCTGTTTTGCAATGGCTTGAGGAATATTTAGGATAAATGGTGTGTTTTTTTTAAGGGAACCTATGTCCTTATCCTATTAGTGTCTTGTTCTTGATGTCTGTGGGTAACAGCTTTGTTCTAGTGGTTTCTATGCTTCATTAAGAAAGTTCTAGCTGTAAGCATCGGCCTTGTGACAGAGATTCGCATATGCGTGTTGGTAAGCAGCTGGGCAGTGCTGTAGGCTGACAGGGAAAAGACTGTAAATCACTGTAAACAGTCTGTGTCTTTGTATAGCCAAAGTTCATTGTTCGAGATTTCAACTTCAGTCCCGTTCTCATGCTTACTGAAACATTTATGTAGTTACATTTTTACTTTTGCTCTTAATGGTATCTTGAGAAAACAAAATAAAAACAAGAAGGTAAAGAGAACGGTGTTATATTTTGGCTTCAAAAAAATCTTACCAAACCTGTTACAGTCTCTTGTACTTTCCTTGTTTGACACTCTCTCTCTCTCTCCATGTACCTGTAGGTTCATGTGTGCTCAGTTAAACAACCCCGTCTTGGAGAGCATCAGTATCATCGATACTCCAGGCATCCTGTCAGGGGAGAAACAAAGGATCAGCAGAGGTCAGCAGCCTTGGGTGCTTTCTGGCTTTTTTTATTTTTACACATTAATTTAATAATGATGATAATAAAACAATAATAATTACATTATTCTATTTTTATTTTCTATTACATTTTATTATTTTAAAATGTTACATTAAATAAAATAAAAAAATAAAATGTCATGATAATTTAATAATGCTAATAATATAATCAATGGTTTTTTTTTTATACACTCTCATATTTTTGATCTTTTATCATAAATTTATTTTGCTGCTCTTTCTTTTTTGTCACTTCACATAATTATAGGACTTGTGCTCTCTTCTTTAGTTTATTTTGACTTTCCTTTATGAATCTATTAGTCAGTGATGGTTAGCGTAATACTTGCATTGATCCTATGCAAATATTTGGAGTTTGACTTTATTGTGACCTCATGTAAATTCACATTTGTTTATTTTTGAAAGAAGAAAAGTGAGTAAAACAAGTCTGACATCCTTTCCTAAACACTCTATTGTGTGAAATCTTAAGTGGATTTCCTTAATACAGGAAGCATTTGAATATCTTTTATCCCCTAATAATAGTCATTTATGCTGTACTGCATTAAATGAAGATGTAACAAAAATAAAACAGGATGTCAGAGCTGCTCAGGCAAGTTTGTTTCCACATGTAAAAGCAGTCGAACTGGCCTAATCTGTTAAAAGGGAAAAACTATTGTGCCAAAAATATTCCCGACCGCACTTTTCCCAGTTTCCTCTTTTTATACCACTACAAAGGTTTTGTGGGTCGAGAAGTGTTTTATTATCATATGACTGGTAGCTTGCATGTGTGTTTTGAGTTGTCTGATATTCCACACAGTCACTGATGTATGCTCCATTGTCGTTCAGCTGTGAACAGGAAGAATCAGAAGGAAACGCTGAGTTGGCCCATATGTCAACTTATTGCAGAGTACGACTGTAGATACAGATAGCAACATCACAAAGAGACAGCTGTTAAGAAACAGAAATGTGGCATTGTTACAGGATATGTCTCAAGAGTCATGTGACCCTTTTGTCCTTTCTGGGGCCAGTTGAGACAGTAACCAGATACTGAGATGAAGGCGCCCCAGCATACCATAGACGCACAGCTGTCATGCTACTGACCCTGACGCTTCCACACCACTAGTCCCAGTAGAGACACAACAGAATGTGCCACAGTTGTGGCTGTGTGGGACTAAGCATGAAAGGCTGTTTGAGCATTTCTGTCTGACTGCAGCTAAAACAGCCTTTGTGCTCTAGTGTTGCCGTGGGTTGCTATTATGATGTCATCTTGCCGTTTGCGTTTACTATTGCAACTGGAATTCATCCGTGTGTGAAAGTGTTTACACTGAATTGCTGGAAATAGGGTCATGAAATGCCATCGAGTTTATGAAATGTGGAACTAAAAGTTCATGTGTGGTACAGAGTCATGTGCGATTTTTCTCTGAAAATGTTAGCAGGTTTCCCAGAAGCACCTCTCACTGACTGTTTTCAATCTCTTTTTTTTTTGATTATGTGATTTTTCTGAATTTCATAAATGTTTTCCTGGGTCAGAAGTAAAATGCCTAATCAAACTGTGAGGGGGCTTGCAGATTTTCAGTGCAACTTTCAAAAAACATTTTGCATTGTGATCATTGTTAAAAAATTCTTTGGTACATTTTTATTTAAAATTTAAAATGTTAGAACTAAATAAAGTAAATGTAAGAATTTAAAATAATGGAATTAAAATCCACCTCTTATCAATATTGACTTTTTTATAGTTCCGACAGCCTGACTGCTGATTTAGTTTAATAATAGTTTATATTCAAGTCTTTAGAGTTTGACACTTTACTGTAACCTCATGTTATCTTTAAAACATCAAAAACAAAAACTTTCTGAATGTAGTTTTTCTTAAATGCCTTCCTGTGTTTTTTCCGCTTCTTTCTTTCCCAGTTTTCTTTCAAAAACAACAATTTATATCACAATCATTGTAGGTTAAAAATAGCTTTGGTCTTTTTCTTTGGCACATTTTTATTTAATATAATTATTGTTTAATATAATTATTGTCATCTAAATTACAGTGGCAGAAATCACACATTCTTTACTTGAAAATGTCATTTTTTTCTTTGATTATGACTGAGCCAGGACCGCCACTGGTTCTCTACAGAAAAAGTAAATGATGACAAAGTTTGATGACAATAGGTGACTTTGTCTACAGAGACACCAGGGATTTCACAGGCAGCAGATCTCCTTTCTCTGAATACACAGCTTTATAGTTGCTGTTTGCAATTATCTGAATTCACTGAGATCAGATGACGCTGTCGCTAATCAAATCCATTATCCCTGACCTCTTTTTCCAAAATAAAGCATGTTGCATGCAGCCCTGTTAACGTCCTCTTTCCAGAGCTTTGATTTAGGACCCAATCTAATGCACCTCTTTGTATCTTCTCTCAATTTCAGGCTATGACTTTGCAGCAGTTCTTGAGTGGTTCGCCGAACGAGTGGACAGAATCATCCTGCTCTTCGATGCCCACAAGCTGGACATCTCTGATGAGTTCTCAGAGGTGATCAAGGCCCTGAAAAACCACGAGGACAAGATGCGTGTGGTTCTGAACAAAGCTGACCAGATCAGCACCCAGCAGCTGATGAGGGTGTATGGTGCCCTCATGTGGTCACTGGGGAAGATCATAAACACCCCCGAGGTGGTCAGAGTGTATATCGGCTCATTTTGGGCTCAGCCACTTCTGATCGCAGATAACAGGAAGCTGTTTGAAGCGGAGGAGAAGGACCTCTTCAGCGACATTCAAAGTCTTCCCAGGAATGCAGCCCTACGGAAGCTCAATGATCTGATCAAAAGAGCACGTCTCGCTAAGGTGAAACTGACACGCACATGTACACTACAGTTAAAAAGTTTGCAAAGTTTTTAAAGAAATTGTTAATTCTATTAAGCAAGGATGCATTAAATTGAATTAAAGAGGCTGTAAAAAAAGACTTTTATTGTTTTATTGTTACAAAAGATTTCTATTTTAAATAAATGCTGTTGTTTTGAACTTTCTATTCATTAAGGAGTCCTGAAAAAATGGTATCAGGGTTTCTATGAAATATTGAGCAGCACAGCTGGTTTCAACATTGATGATAAAATCAGCATATTAGAATGATATCTGAAGGATCATGGACAAATTCAACTTTGTCATCATCACAGGAATATATTATATTTTAAAATATATTAAAATAGAAAAGTTGTAAATTTTTCAATTAAAAAATTATTTTATTAAATATTGTATTAATGTTTTACTCTATTACAATTCTGACTCTTTTTTTTATTATTTAGAAAATATTGCAGCCTTGGCTACCATAATAGATCTATTTCAAAAACAAAATCTTACCAATCCCAAGCTTTTGAGAGCTAGTGTAAAATAAATATATTATATCGTTTTGTAGATGATCCACGAAAATGCCTTATACTTGGACACTTTTATGAACTTTATTCCCCATTGAGTGTGTACGAGATTTTGATCTCACAGATAAAGTTTCATGTCTTATTTTCATTTTATGAAGGAACCTAATACTTGTGAGAAGTGTAGTTTTGACATGCTAAACTGCACAAATGCTACTTGTATTTAATTTGAGTCAACTGAATACTTTTCTTCTAGGTACATGCTTACATTATCAGTTCTCTGAAGAAAGAGATGCCTAGTGTATTTGGCAAAGACTCAAAAAAGAAAGAGCTTATTACCAACCTGGGTGCAATCTATGAAAAGATTCAGAAAGAGCACAACATTTCACCAGGAGACTTTCCTAACCTAAAGAAAATGCAGGTATGAAGCTATACATTTTTATCCAATAAATTCAAGTTTTATAAAGAGCTTTTCATTCAAAATAAAAACATAACACAAAATTTCTTTACAGGAGTTGCTAGCTGCTCAGGACTTCACCAAATTTCCTGTCATGAAGCCAAAATTAATGGAGTCAGTGGAAGACATGCTAGGTAATGACATTGCTAAGCTCATGACGCTGGTCCGTAAGGAGGAGGCCGCCATGCCCAGCCAGTCAGTGAAGGGTGGTGCGTTTGAGGGAACCATGAACGGGCCGTTTGGTCACGGATATGGAGAAGGTGCAGGGGAAGGCATTGATGAGCTGGAGTGGATCGTGGGCCGTGATAAGCCATCCTATGACGAAATATTCTACACCCTCTCGCCAATTAATGGTAAGGTATCTGGTGCCACGGCTAAGAAGGAGTTGGTGAAGTCCAAGCTGCCAAACACAGTGCTCGGAAAGATTTGGACTCTGGCAGATGTTGACAAAGATGGCTACCTGGACGATGAAGAGTTTGCGCTGGCGAATCACCTGATCAAGGTAAAGCTAGAGGGGCATGAGCTTCCAGCTAAACTGCCCGCTCACCTCGTGCCACCTTCCAAACGGGCGGAGCAGAATTGAAGAGCCGGCTTGAGTTGATTGGATCTCAGTGGCTCTCAGCTACATTCCAAATTGCCCAAGCCATATCTTCTAGCTTTTTTGGCCATTCAGTTAACTAACTTGTCATCAGGAACTGGATTTCTGTCTTAAACATAGATTTGTAGGAAGGGTTATAAATCAAAAATGCTTGGCTTCGAATGATAGGACTGAGAGATCCAACCAAGAAGAACTTATGTGCCAGTGAGAGACTTTTTCTTTCTTCTTCTTAATTTTTAATATGGCTTAGAAATGGAGAAACCACTATGAGCACAGAAAGAAATTAAATTGATTGCAAAACTTCTATGGTACTGTTGTGTTTAATGGACATTGGATTGAGGCCGTAAAGCAGCAGGCAAAGAGGATGTTAAGGGGGCTCTTTAAAGAAACAAAAATGTGAAAAATATTCCATATATGATATATCCAAACATAATTGCTGTTTTTTGGGGGTTTTTTTTGCAAAACGTCCTTAACTTATTCTTTTTCTTTAAAGCTATTATATCTGTATTTTGTATTTTCAAATTTGAAAATTGAATACTGTTTTCTGATTTAATATCTCTAAACTATATCCGTATACGTAATCTGTAATTTTGAGGCTGTATCTTTATTTTCTATTGGGATTATGTGATCTGAAACCCTCACCTTCATTTGAATGCAGCAATTTCATTGACCAATAAAAGAGTTTATTTGTAAACATGCGCTTCAAAGACTGAGTTTTCTGCATTTAGAGACACTACAAATTGCAATATGTAGTGAAATCTTTGGAAACAAACACCAACATTAGCAGTTGTGAAAGATGTGTACAAATATCGGTCATTTGTTTTCATGAGTGATGACAGAGAACTATGTACTTGCATCGATAGAGCTTATGAATTTGAGTGGAAAAACTGCGTTCCTTTTGGAATGGTAGTAATGCAATGACAGCGTCATATTTCTCTCTGCTCATCAAGTTGTTTTGTTGAGGCATGTTGAGGTGCTGCACTGTACAGCTTCTTGTTTTCTTTGGCAGCTATTGGGAGTTGATCACTGATTGTTTTTTTCTTCTCATGCAGCTGACTATTACTTTCTTAGTTTAGTGTAACGTGAACCCTCTTGCAACACATCTGTGGCTGAAAAAAAGATCGCCCATTCGTTTTTTTTTAATTGTTCCCTCACTGTCAACTGGATCGTGTTCAACTTCAAGTTTTTTTTAGTACGTCTAAAATATTTGTTTACATTATTCAAGATAAATCTTTTAGATGCATGCATCTAAAGATGGCACATGCTTATCTTTGATATACTGCTCAAAAGTTTAGGGCCAGTAAGACTTTTTTTTCAAAGAAATTAATGCTTTTATTCAGTAAGGATGCATTAAATTGATCAAAAGTGACTGTAAAGACTTATTCATCAAAAAATCACGTTAAAAAGAATGTAAAACGATTTCCACAAAAATATTACACAGCACAACTGTTTTCACACTGAATAAAAAAAATTGTTTTATGAGCATCAAATCAGCATATTAGAATGATTTCTGAAGGATTATGTGACGGAAGACTGGAGAAATGATGCTGAAAATTCAGCTTTGCCATAACAAGGAATACATTTTAAAATATATTAAAATAATTGTATTGTATTATTTCACAATATTCCTGTTTTTACTGGTTTTTTTTTATTTTATTTTACCAGGAAGTCTCATTGAGATTAAAATCTCTTTTACAAGAGAGACCTGGCCAAGGTAGTAGCCATACAGTAAGACAACATTTTAAAATACAACAAATGCACATATATATATATATATATATATATATTAGTATTAGTATCAATTTAAAACATTTTAAGCTCACAAAAGCACTTTGCAATGACTGAAATGCAGTTTGAAGCTCTTGCACTGCTTGTGTTATGGATGGAGCAAGTGTATAAATAATAGTATCGTCAGCATAAAAGTATTTTTTTGCTTGAATGTCCTTACCCAGATCATTTATATAAATAGAAAACAAAACAGGTCCCAAAATGGACCCCTGGGGGACCCCTTTAGATATATTAAGAAAATCAGATTTTAAATCCTCTACATGAACACACTGAGTCCGATCTGCCAAATAATTTCTAAACCATTTCACCGTCCCATGTTCAAAACATGCACTGCTTAGTTTGTTCAGCAGCCATTCATGATCCACTGAATCAAACGCCTTGGATAAATCCACAAATAAGGCAGTGCAGTGCTGTTTTCTGTTCAGGGCACCAATAAGGTCGTTTATCACCACCGCAGTAACAGTAATGGTGCTATGGCCATTTCTAAAACCAGATTGAAAAGAGTTTAAAATATTATTGTCAAATAAAAAACTGTTTTAACTGTATGTTGAATGATCAAATAAGTGCAGCATTTGGTGACCATAAGAGACTTCTTTCAAAAACAAACTTTAGAACAATATGTAACTTTGTATATAACTATACCGGTACTTTGTTTTGGCAACGATATGTGCATTCTGTCCAATAGAGACCTCAATTTAGCACCGTTTGAACTTTCTCATTGTCATTTCTCAGTTATTGCATTCTGCTCACAGTACACACTTGACAGGAAGGTGCTAAAGTTCCCAGTAATGTCCTAAGTGACAGTAAGAATGCAGATGTGAAAGTTTTAAAATTACCACCCTCAACTCACCCTATATTTGCTGCACTTAATCTTAAATTAAACCACTTTGCTAGATAAGGATAAAGTATGAGGGCATAGTTGCATTTTGAGGGACACTAATAAGCAATTAACAGCCTTTTAAATTGTTTATAGCTATATAATCTGTTAGACCAGACCCGCTTAGCACCTCCCCATGTGACTGCTTACTGACACAGTAACCTAAACCCTTCTATTAGAGATGCTGGTTAATAAGAGCCATGTGTAAGAAGGTGATGCATCTTTAGAAGAGGTGTGAAACTAAAAAGCACTGACTCAGATGTTTAGCAGAGAATTGCTTCACTGCTGTGTGCATGTTTATAAGTCACTCCCTCGCCCTCGAAATAACCAAATGACAAATAAGCAAAATAGGTCCCTACCACTTTTTTGATGGTACATGTCACTAGATATGTTAATCTTAGTGCCATGTTGAACAGAATAAACCACATTAACAGAATACTGTACATTAAATCAAATAAAATCAGACATTCAAGAACTAAACTGATTTATTGAGGATAAACCGCAGTTGAAGCCGAGTACATTTGACTGTGTTGTTTGCACTCATTTTCATTCCAGAGTAGGTGCTCAAATAGTTGTTTGTTTATCTGTCTCCTCTGTGTTTGTTTTAGAAACACAGACGCGCAGTCACAGAAAGAGCACGGAGAGAAAACCAGCATCGAACAAACCCAGTCTCATTGTAACAGGACATCCCAGGTCCTTTGAGGGACAGGACATCCTTTTTTGTGTTCTTTCAGAAATCAGAGCCTCATAACTGAGCAGCTTGAAGAGTAGTGCAAGTTCCATCACTCTTCATATTACACGGCTCAGTTGTAATCTCTTTCAAAACTACGGATTTGACTTCAAAATTAGCCTCTAAGAAATCTAAACTACTGAGAAATGAGGTCAGAAGAGTCCTCTCGGCCAGGTGTGATTGGTGGACTGTGTGGTTTTAGGTGTAATGCACAGTGAGAGTCTTCATTTATAGCAGCAATAGTGAGTTATGATCTCAGAAAGGCATCCGTCTGGAGTTATGCGAGGTGATCTGTGTCACATGGTCATTTTGGAGGGTCTTTTCACCCAAACATGTCCTGGGATGCATAGGTTATGTAGAGGAAGCCATCGGGGTCTCTGAACTGTGAATAAACTTCTCCCATGCTGGTTGACAAACAGGACATGTTCTTTCCTGAGATCAGTAGGTACAGAGCTTGAGATGCCTCTAGCGCTATCTTACTTCTGTAAGAGAAAGAGCAAAACATAAAATTGCCATTACAGAAAAGAATTGCTTGAAAGTGCCTGAAACTTCAGGCGGTGTCTCATAACAGACATCCAATGACCTAAACAACGTGGTAGGGCAAAACATTCATGATTCACTGTTCACACAACACGTAGGCTATTCAACACTGACTTAAGAAAACAAGCATTGACTCATTCTCTGCTGCATAAACAGTCACATGACAAGACCAAAACTGCATCTACTTTTATATTTGAGAAAGAGAGTTTACACACCTGAGCAGACTGAGGAACTGCCCTAATGCCAGCTCATATGGGACAAGAAATTTGGTTTTGTCCAGTAGGGGAAGCTTTGTCTCCCGAAGGTATCGCTCCACAATTACCTAAAATACAAAACATAATCTATAATGTTAAAAATAGACGCTGTTTTATTGTTGTTTAAACATTTCATATTCAAAAAGGCATCTCACCGGTAATTTGTTGGGGAACTTAGACCGAATAGTGCAGACTTCATCTTTTCTTGTTTCTACATTGGAAGAACAAATATTTATTTATTATTGGTTTTTCCTGATCATTGAAAATAGCTTTCCTTGAAATAAATATAAAACAATAAGATCAAATAAGAAAATAACATGAGAAAGAGGCCTAAATAGCAACTTGTCTGCATTGTGGAAAATTGTCTTTAGCTAAAAAGATAAGCATAAAGGTAGAAAACATAAAATTAGCCTATAAAACATTCAATGTAAAACACACAACAATGTAAAACAAGGGACGTAGTTAGTAAAATGCAAAAAGTTGAATGTTGTAGTGAAGTCATGACCTACCCAGGCACTTCCTTTGCTTGAAAGGCATAATTTCCATGGATTTCTCGTAGGGAGGCATTCTGACTAGAGATTGACGAGGATGGAGACGTGTACGATGCTGTGGTAAGAGGAGGCTGTGCCCGGGCTGACGAAGTGCCCACGGATGAAGATTGTCTCAAATGCCTGCTTTCAGTTCGCGGGGCTCGGGCTTTATACCGTGTGTGTGTGTAGGGGGAGGACAGTCTGAAGTGTGAAAAGATGAGAAGTGCTTGCGCGTATTTAAAGACCTTGCGATGATATTAGCCGTTACATAAACTCTTCAAAACCTCTTCACAGCCTCTCCTGTCCTCGCGCTGGATCAATAATGAACGCAACATTCACAGACACCGTCTATTTGAAGTTCAGCCCCGCTTTTTTGTGCCATGACAGCTCAATTAATAATCACGGCATCAGCTTTTGTGTAGCACCACAGTGAACAACAGATGTGTTGATGTACGTGACGTGTGACTGTTGAGAGTTCACTGAACTCAAGTAACGGGACAAACACGTAGACCTTTTATGCCTCGTTTTATAGGCTATTATTAGTATTGAAAAAGAGATAAGATAACAGAATTTTAGTCAGAAGGTCTTTATTTTTAAACATTATAAAATACATTGTAAACAAAAAATTAATTTGTAAATTGTTTTGGCCACCAAATATTGAAGTACAGTTCATATTGTAATGACTATATAACCTTTAAAATACATGTGTGACGTAAAGGGATAGTTCATCCAAAAATTTAAATTCTGTCATCATTTACTCAACCTTGTGTCATTCCAAAACTGAATGACTTTCTTCTGCAGAACACAAAAGATATTTTGAAGAATGGTGGAAACAAAAAAAAAAGAAGCCTATTGACCTCCATTGTGTGTGTGTGTATGTATATGTATATGTATATATATATATATATATATATATATACGTGTAACGGAGTGAGAGCTGTGCAGGTAAAGCTCACTCCCTTGATCCCAAGAGGC